GCTCCTTCTTGCCGCCCGCCGCCTCTGCCGCGCGGAAGATCGCCGCCTTCGCCAGCGCGTCGGGCCTCTTGCCCAAGGGCTTGCTCATGTAGTCCTTGTTGGCTACCTGAAGCTTCTCCTTCGCCTTGCGACCCTCGTCGTCGTGGTGCGTCATCGCTCTCCGATCGGCTGGAACATCGGCGCCAATCACAGGTGGGGCCGGCAGGCGCGGGTGGGGGGGCGGGCGTCGGCTGCTGGGGCCCCCATGGAGCATTGCTTGAGCCTGGGCGCCATCAAAACGAGCAGTGCAACGGTGCGACGGGACGCGTCGCGCGAGAGTGCCCTTCCTCGTGGGACATCTATCGCAGAATTGACATTCTCCTGTTTCGAATCTGTGTCGGACAATACCTCTGCCATCGGTTTCGCATAGACTTTGCGCGCCGCATGCTTGTGATTTGCCAGCCCTTCTGCCCTGTTGAACTTCTGGCCGCGCACGTCGCGCTCCCGCCAGGTAACTGCGGGGGCATCAGCTGCTGAATTCGCTGAATTCGAGACAACGCCACACGTAGATTCACGTCGGAAGCATCGCGGCCCCGAGGAGGCAAGCCAGCGCCAGCCGCGGCTGTCAGTTCAGGCAATTCGCCATGGAGAAAGGAATTCGCGGCGTGCCTCGCCCTGCTCCTGCGAGCCCACCGTCCGCTTGAGGCGGCGCATGTCATCCATCGACAGCGCCAGCGTGCCCGACTGTTCATCGCGCCCCCTCGTCTCAGACGAAATCTGCCCGAAGACGGCCGCCCTGGCCGCCAGCGCCAGGCCGCGCGCATCCCCCCTCGGCTCCCGAATAGCAAGCCACAACGCCTGCCTCCACCGCCGCAATCGTCGCTTCTGTGGCAGCGCGCCCACGACCGTCGGCGTCCTGGCTGTCCTCCTGATCTCACGAATGGTAGTCTTGTAGAAGTGGGCCGCCGCGTTCAGTAGGCCACGAAGCTTCCGCGCCTGCCAGCTCCGAAGCTTACTCAGCTCGCTCTTGGCGAGGCTGGCGGTCTCCGAACAGCGGAAGCAAACCGACCGAACCAAGGCCTTCCATAATCTGAGCTCCAACTTGGAACTGAAGGCACACTTGCAAGCGCGGCGTTGGAGGCGCGTTCGCGCGGCGTCGGCAGCCTCGGCCCCGCTCGCGACCTCGGCCTCGCGAGCGCCCGTCGCCGCCGACTGCGCGCCGAGATGCTTCGCCGTCGCCCGGGGGTGCAGGGGGGGGCTGTCGTCGACGCCCCATGCCGCGATGCCCGTAGCACGTGCCCCGAGACGCTTCGACTGTTCCTGCCCCCCGCCCCCGTCGGCGAGGGGAGGTGCTCGGTCTTCCTTCCATTGGCCCTCGCACCCCGTACTTGATCTCTCCCGCCGCAATCTCCAAGACGTCGGAAGCGCCATCGAACTCCTCGACCTCCGCGAACGAGAGCAGGTCATCCAGGAACTTCAGCTGGGTCACGTCTGGGCACTCGCACGCGGTCTCCTCCGAGCCGCCGCCGCACCTGGCCCTCTTGAGCGTCGGGCCGAAGTGCGCCTTTATGGCCGCAAACTCATTGCATCGCAACTGCCCCGCGACCTCCCCCACCAGCCCATCGTAGACCGCGACGAAGAGGCTTGGGCTCAACTCCTCCTTGGCGCACCCCTCGCTTTACCCGCATCCTGTCAGTAGGCTTTTGCGTATTCGCATCTCTGCGCAGGTAGCACATGCCATCACGCAGCTCCTTCATCGTTACTCCGGCCCCTCACCGCGCCTGCAAGTCAGCCAAGACCTGCCAGATGTCCTGGCGATTCACCATGTCGAGCGCCCTCGCGATGTCCGTCAGCGCCGCAAGCAACATCGGCGGGGGGCAGAGAAGCCCCCCCGCCGCGTTGCACGAGATTCCTTCTGATGCCGCAGTCACAGCCGCATCGGGCGCGCCACGCCCTGGCATCGCCCCAGACTGCGTCGGCGACATCCTGCGGGCCACCTGGCGCGTCGCGCCCGGCGCCGCCGCCCTGGCGCATGTCATTCCGACGTGGCCTATCAAATTGATGGCCCTGTAGCCCCTCACTGCCGGGCTGCCGCCCGCCTTCGGCTTCCTCGACTGCATCGCCCCCCCGTCATTGAACCTCTGCGGGGCCTCGCCCAACGCCTGCGCCGCGCTGGAGATCTGGCGCAGGGGGGGGGGCTACCGAGTCAACCACCAGCTTCCATGCTTCGGCCACTGCGCCCGCTGGCGGCCCACCCTGCGGCCACTGCAGCGTTGGCACCCCCTTCATATTCGGCAGCTCCATGACGCTCCTCCTTACTCCATCGATATCGCACGGGCCAATCCTGTCGTCGTCTTTGCCCGCGCATCCAGCGCGCGGAGGAGCGCCGCCCAGCCTCGTCGCCCGTCCGCCACGCACGCATCGCGCGTGCCCAGGACTCGCACCCGTCGACCATCCATCCTCTGAGTCGAAGCGCGGCAGCCCCTTGCTCGGGCCACTCGCAATCACAATGGGGGCGGCGGGCTTCGGGGCCACCATATTTTGACCATCCCGAAAGCTCTCCTTAGGTTCCGCTCCCCAGTAGCTCGCTCGGCCGCGGACAGCCAGCGCCGCCGCCCACTGCCCCCTTCTCTCCCCTGGTCGCAGCCGTCGCCGCCTTCGCCGCAACGGCGCACTGCCGCTGGAGCTGATGCCTCAGCCCCTCGGCCACCTTGGGCTATCCGCGAAGCTAGCTGCCTCTGCCAGTACAGCTTTGTCTGGATCATCTTCAGGCTCGCTGAACATTGCCCCCGTGCCCCCCCCCTCGCCAGGGGAGATATGCAGTCCTGCATCGCCGCGTCCCTGATCGCTCCCCCCATCGCATCAAAGTGCGCCGCCGGGGGCTCGCACCGCTTCCCCGCGCCGCAAATGTCCGACCAATCCTCCCGCAGCCCCTCCGCCCCGATGCCCTCCCGCACCTTGCCGCGAACATCGCGAAGGCGACGGGGAAGTGGCACGCAGTTGTTGTCGTCATCCTCCGTTTGCTGCGCCGTCATAAGACCTGCCAGCGAAACTTTACGACGCCACCTGAAACGGCCCGCAGGCCAGGCGGGGGGGAGTCCTGGCACCCGCGAAAATGCTTGTCCCCAGCGGCCTGTGATCCCTGTAGCCGCCGAGGTTGACAGAGAGGTCTGCCCGCGGCCGCGAAGAATGACCGTGCCCTCCCTGCCTGCGGACCAGCACGTAGTCTATCGTGGTCCATGTCCCCTGAGGGCATCGCTATGTGCCGCTGAAGCTGCCTTGCCCCCCAAACTTATTGAGAGCCACCAGCCCGAAGTCCTCAAACAACTCCATCAACTCGTGGCCATTGCCGTTGATCTGCGGCCATGCCCGACGCACTCCGCCCAGCTTTACCTACCCGCGGCAGGCGACGTGGCACATGGGCAGTGGCGTCCAACGCGGCGGCAAAGGCAGCACGAGCAGGGACCTGGCTGACCGCACTGCGGCAGGTCTGCCAGAGGCGGTCGCGGGACTCTACGTGCTTCTCGCGGTGATCAAGGGCGTCGGCACCGTTAGGCCGATGGCCCGCCTCGTTGGTGGGAGCGTAGCCGTTCAAGATATAGAGAGGTCACGCCCGACCCCCTGCCGCTCGCACTCCTGATCCTGATGCCCTGCAACTTCCCGTCTAGCCACGCATGCACACAACGAGCTTCGCTCGACCTGAAGAACTTCCAGCTGATCGCAGTGAGGCAGCCGTCGCACTGGCCCTTGCCCGACCTAGCCAGGGGGTGTCAGCCTTCCAGGTATTCCCCAAGTTTATCTGCATGTCCTGCATTGTGAAGCTCGCTACGTCCTCCGCCTAGGCCAGCTCCAGCAACTCGTCCAGTCTGCCCACCTTGCGCAGCGACTCCACGTTGAAACCTCACACCTTCAGCGGGGACTGGGACCTTCTCCTCCCTCGCTTCTCCTCGAGTTTTAGCAAATATTGAATGCAGGTGGGGCACCGAGTTCTGCACCTCGGTGGAAGCCAGCTGCGCAGATGCAGAATGTGTAATCCTCCTTCCATGATACCACGTTGCGCCCGCCACCGATGCAAGCCTCACCGCTCGCGCCGAGGCACGCTTGCCGCGCGTGACCCTTGCGCCTTATCTCTAGCAACACAGCCGCCACGGCACAGTGTCGCCGTCCTCGCGGGTCGGGCTACCCTCGAACGATCACCTCGCAGTGGTCAGGCAAGCTGTTCTCCCGCCTCAGCGTCCAACACTCGCCATGGCGCGGCCGACGGGGAAAATGCACTGGCCAAGACTTGCGACATGGCACGACCGTCCGCTGCGACGCAACCTTCTCGAGCCGACGAGGCTTTCTGAACCATTCCGCCGGTTTCCGCCGAACTTCCGCTGGCGGAGGTAGCCTCGGCTTACTTCCACCACCTTCCGCAGGCCTTCCGATGAGGAGGAGACTGCAACTCCTTCGATCCTCGAAGGCGAGGGCCTTTCTGGAAACCGTCCGGAGCGCTGGAGGGGAGGCCGATGGGGCCGAGGGCTAAGATGGGCGGGACTGAGCTCACCTGGCCCCAACATGTTCGCGCACGTTTTCTCTGGCGTGCCAGTGGGTTCCAGCCAGCGGTGAGAAGTTGGAAAAGGGATAGGGGCACTGCAAAGACGACCAGTCCATCTTTGTCAACATGTTCATACACGCGCACGTTGATCGACGGCGGGGAACTTCCTTCCAGAGAGGCGGATCTGGGGAACGCGGGGCTTGGCATAAAGAAAAGAACACATCCCGAACGAAACGGGTTTTTTTGTCAGTCCCCGGGCCAATGGTGAAAGGCCTACAGAGGCACCCCCAAAACGGAACGAAAACCTCAGGACCCAGTTGGCTCAGGACCCGCTTGCCTCGTGTCGAGGGGGCGCCCAGAGCCTCAGACCTGGAGACCTGGCCAGGGTCGGCGCGTTCCCCCAAGACGCTGGCTCCAGCAGCGGAAGAACATGGAGGAATTCTGCGGGGAGGCCTGGCCGGTGCCCACATGCACGCGCGGTGCTTCATCTGAGCCCCCCGCTGGGATCGTACTTGATGCCCAGGTCGATGTGCTCGGTGATGCCGAAGCCGAAACTACCATTCTTCGCGAAATTCCTCTTCACCAGCTCGTACTCCTTGACCTCGCCGGAGAGGGGTGCCAGCCGGACGGGGAGGGATGCAGGAGTCTTCGACTTGAGCCCACCACCTGCTCGCCTTGCTTGAACACTTGCGCGAGGCGTTCGGGTCGATGGGCGGCGAGCCCAGGGGGCAAGACAGAGGGGCCGGGACTGCTTATGAGGCTCAAGAGACCTCCAGCCCTCCGAGGAGCTCCCTCGCCCGTCTCTGAAGACACACAAGGCTTCCCCAAGGCGAGAGAGCTTCTGAGAAGGGGCCGTCGTCGAGCACCGCTACGTGAAGCGTTCGCGCGGGACTTCTCAGCGCAGCAACGACCTTCTGTCTCCGGCCAACCCAAGAACCGTCTCGAAATCTACCCAGGAACCCGCCCCCCCGACACCGTCCTGACGTGCTTTTGAATATGTGTCTGACCACGGCGACAGGGGTCGCAGCCCGAGGTCCGAAGAGACGCCTCATTGTAGTTAGAGGCTGGCAGCTAAGCAGGGCAGGTACCCTGCCCAGGCCTAGTCAGACAGCTAGGCTCCAGGCCGTTTTGGGGGGGGGGGGGCGGAGCTTTGCAGAGGTGACAGACCTGCAGCTCACCGTGGAGGAGAAGAGGGTGGCGGGCGAGTTTCTTCCTGCCTGCAAGAAGGGACCCGAGACCTCCGGTGTTGCAGACGAGCGAACAGTGGCCCTGAGCAACAGATCACGTGTTCGACCATGGACCCCTTGTTACCCATCGCTCCTGGGCCGTCTTCGACGGGCTCCGGCGGTCTTCGGACGGTTTTCGGCGGTCGTCGGCAGTCTTCGGCGGTCTTCGGCGGTCTTTGGCCTTTGGCGGTTTCCAGCGGTCTTCGGCGCGAAAGCTTGATGACTACGGTCAACAAGGGGTCGATGATCGAACGCTTAAAACAAGAACTTTTGGTGCGCGACTCTAGGGGGGCGCGGGGGTGCTAAACGTCAAACCAAAGCGCGCAAGCCGGTGCTATCGCGTCACATTTAGCGATCGGGGGACCACATTGGGCCCACACTCAAGGCCACTCTGGCGAAGGGCCACTCGTAGGGGGTGCCGACGAAGCCCCTCCATCTGCTGCCAGGTCCGCGCTGATTCCTTGGATCGGCGCTGGATCCCCCCCGCTGGCGCGCGGAGCGCGCCAAGTGCGGCACCAGGAGCGCCGCCAGGGGGCTCCAGCGCCTATCTGAAAGTGCATGCTTATGCCATTCTCTGTTCCCCCACTTGCGATGGGAAGAACGGTCCTGAGGGGAAAGGGTCCTCGGATCCCGGGGCTCCCCACAGCATCGGCTCTTCATCCTGATCGGACTTCTGACGACCCCAGCCCCAGCAGCCCGGGAAAGGTTCTCCGACATCAGACCGAAGACGGCGCAGAAAAAAAGCCCTCCCCTCAGAACCCATTCTTTCTTGATTGCGAACCCTGTTGGCCAAAAGCAGCCTGGCCAGCGGCCCAAGACGTCCGACCCGATGGCGTTGGGGCATCTGATTGGCTCGCCCGAAATAGGGGCGGAAGCAAGGGTGAACATGCCCGAAATTGGCGCCCCTGGGTCGACGATGCCCAGAAGCAAGTGATGCCCACAGCTGGCAGCGGCCAATGATGGGATGGCGATGCCCGTGCCGGATGGACAACGCCAGCGGCGACACCTCCACCGCTTGCCGAGATCCCCGACCCCCCGTGTTTTTCGATCCTCCGTGTTTTGGGGACTGGCCACTTCGCATGACCCCTTCTGGGATGAGCAATGAGATACACCTAACACTTTGGGTGCGGGCCTAAGTTAAGTGGCCCAAAGCATGAGGGATAGGGGGTCTTTCCTGCAGATGTCTCAAACCGAACCGCCCAGAACTGTTGTCCCTGATGCAAGCACGTGGACCGAAATTAGCGTTCTTCAATCCTCACTGACTCCAGAGCCCGAGGCCACCCGCACTCCGCGTGAAGTGCGACACGCTGCGAGCGCGGCTCCCTCGTTGATCCTCCGCGGCCGCTCCCCGTCTCGCCCACCAGCAGTCAGTGCGCGATCAGCTCGGCCGCATCCTACGCATCGCTGTCCCGCGTCGCCGCTGACAAGCAAGCCCTTGGGTGCTGGGCACCCGCCTCAGATCTCACCGATGGGAACCAGCGCTGGCTCACTGGCAGCTGGGTGTGGCTCGATGGGGGCGGCAAGCGGGGGGGCGAAGAAACACGCACCTTTCGTACACCTTCTGGTGGCCCCTGGGGAGGGGGGCCATTTAGGGCCCAGCAGGTGCACGAAAGGTGCACCTTTCTTCCCCCCTCGTCTAAAGGCCTCCCAGATGGGGTCTGAGAAGATGGGGTCGGAGGATCACGCCGCATCGCTAATATATCGCTACTGCATCGGCGATGCACCGTCAACGTCGGCGATGCAACGGCCCGTCGACGTGCAAACCATCGGGATCCGCATCGAGCCGCATCGCCAATGCACTGGCGATGCGGAGCGATCCTCCGACCCCATCTGGGAGGCCTAGATCTCACCAAGACATGCAACATCTGTTTTTTTTCCTCACGGGGCCCCAAAGCCCCGACCCTTTGCCCAGGGCCTGCCGTTCGTCCCGAGCCCGTTTGCTGGTACCGGCTCTGGCCCCAGCGAGGGCCTCTGGAGGCCAAAGACGGCCAAAAGCCGTCCGTCGTGTTTGCTGCCGCGGCAAGAGCATGCCTGAGCATCTGAGACGAAGCCAAGATGAGGATAACATCGGGTGAGGATAACTCGATGATCTCTGAGATTCCGCGGCTCTGGAGGATATCTCGGGCGCCACGGTCTTCTCAGGGCGTTCCGGAACGCTATGAGAGCATTCCAGAACGCTCTGGAACGGATTTGTCCTCGTCCCAGCCCCGTCCGGGTATCGCCCCCCCCCCTTGCTCAACGCCAAAGGCAGCCTCTCAGGACAAGCGCCAGGCCCGGCCTGCGCGCAGGTGCAAAACCACCGTGCGCATGGGGCGGGGTGGCCCGGCAGGAAGCAAGAGCGGGCCCTCGCAGGGAGCCGCGGGAGCAGCGACAGGGGGCCCGGTACCTTGCAGACAGCACGCACAGTACCCAAACATCCGATGCATTGTTTTTCCAAACGGTCCTTTGGTGTTTGGTCCTCGTCGTGAAGAGACAGTCCTCGCGTCCCCCCTCTCCTCTCCTCCTCCTCCCGCTCCTCCGTCCTCCCACCCTTGCCTCTGCCCTCCGCATATCAGCCAGTTCGGCACTCCCATCACCCCCCTCACTTTGGCGCAACCTTCACACGCTTCGTGGCCCCATAGGGACTCCATCGACGGCGCCAGTGGCTGCCTTCGCATGCCGCCCCCCCCTCACATTGGCGCAACCCTCACACGTTTCGTTGCCCCATAGGGAGCTCCACCGAAGGCGCTAGTGGCTGCGTTCGCATGCCGCCCCCCCCCCCCCCCCGCACTTTGGCACACCGCTCACAAGCTTCGTGGCCCCATAGGGAGCTCCACCGAAGGCCCAAATGGCTACTTTCGCATGCCGCGCCCGCATGTCTTCTCCCGCTTTTCCCGGTGCCTGTCAGCCGCAACGGATTACACCAACATGTAACCCGTTTCGTCTGACCTCCGCGCCCCCTGCGGGCGGCCCCAGCGGCAGCGCCCGCATGGCGGCCCCGCCCCATTTCGGCGCTCCCTTCGCGTGTTTCGTGGCCTGGTAGTCGGCTCCACCGAGGGCGTTTTTCACATCGGCGGCACTCGCTCACAACTACATGAGGTTGGGTCATTTGCCAGGATACTTCGGATACTTCCCGACCCTCCTGTGTTGGGTTCCCGTCCTGAATGGTGTACTGTGGTATCCACTCCTTCTCCTTCTCCTCACCCCACTCCTGCCTCCTCCTGCGCTGCTCCCTGGGTGGCTGTGAACTGCGCAACTGTCGCCACTCGAAGTGTAAACTGTCGCCAGTTCGTGAGATGCTGGAGGGTCCAGCATGTTGGCGTCCTGCGCACATCGAAATGAGACCTCGCCGTCCCTGGGCGCTGCCGAGCTGCAAAACTGTCGCCACGTTCGAAGGCTGCTAGGGGGTCCAGCATAGTGTCGTCCCGCGTACATCGAAATGAGACCTCGCCGTCCCATCGAGCTGCGCACTGAGAAACTGTCGCCACTTTCAAGGGCTGCTGAGCGGTCCAGCATAGCGACGTCTACGCAAGTCAAAATGAGACCTCGCCGTCCCTGGCGGCTGCGCGCCCCTTTCGAGGGCTGCCGGGGGGTCCAGCATAGGGAAGTCCTACGCACATCATAATGAGACCTTGCCGTCCCTTGGGGGCTTCAAGTTTCTTTTGCAGCCGTGCCCTTTTGGTTCCATTGATAAGCGCCTCTGGTTACTGTCGTTGCCGCGTCCCTTTGTTTCCATTCTTGGGCTTGGGGAGCTGCGAACTGCACAGCTGTTGCCACGGGCTTCTGGGAACATGTGGCTGTGGCCAGACGTTCTGTGGGGAAGCCCTCAGTTGCACTGCAGTTCATTCAGGTCATACTTTTGTAATGAACAGTCCCGAGTATCGTCACCCCATGTGTACGAAGGCTTTTGGTACTTCCCTGGGTGATGTTTTCTAGCCGCGGTTCCAGAGGGTTCGACCACTTTCATAAAGGCAGGTTGTTGTCCCGCGTCATTCTTGATGGCCCTAGGAAATCAGGAAAAGCCCAAATATTGAAAAGCAACCCGCCCGAAGTCTTGGCCGAGTACAAGAGGATGGACTCAGGGGGAGGACAACGACGACGAGGACACGAGCACAGAGCGGGAACGAAGGACGAGGCGACAAGGGAGAGGACACCCAAGCCGTCTACGTGCATTCTGTGCCTCACGCCTAGGGGCAGGCGAGGCCGAGAGGGGAGGCCAGCGTGGACCCAGGCCCTCGGCGGGCCTCGGGGAATACGACGTCGCAGAGCCGAGCGGATCTTAGGGCCAGTTTCCAGGCAGCAGCTACAAGAACAACCGTATTCCCCTCAACAGAGCGCCCTGATAACAGCCAAGGTGAACAGGCGGGTCGAGTAAGGCGGCTAGTGGGAACGTGTGTGGTTCAACAAAGATCGGTGCCGTACGGACCAAAAGTGTTGCCAGCAATGAGGCGACAGTACGATTCCTGAATAAATTGTGACATGGCTTCAAGCAAAACGGCTGGCGGTCCAAACGTCCAAGGGCACCGCCCCCCCCCCTAGTGGGAATCTTCTCGGCTCCTTTTTCACCACTATTGCAAGCCTCTAGTGCAGCGCTACTGGGGAAACATAGCGAGCTATGCATATGTTGACGCAGCGGTCTTGCCCATGCCCGCCCTGGACCCACGATCGGCGCACACGCGCACCTAGCATGGCCATGGAAGCATTCCGTCGGAACCTGGCCACAAGAAAGCGGGTAAAAAAACCTGAGCGCCTACGCCGAAGGCCCATGGCCCAAGGCCCGATTGAAATACCCGAAACGAAGAACAGGTTAGGATTTAGATCCCAAACGCGAAAGACATAACGGTGCCTGACCCTCGTGCAATCTGTACACACTGACCGTGGGCCCACGATGGGCCTGGAAAGGACTGGTGAATGTTCATTGTTTTCCTCGGCCGAAACTCTGGGGGGGGGCACGTTCTGGCCAGACTCTCGAAGCGAATGCAGCCGTGGCGATGAGGGAAGGGCAGCGGTGACAGCATCTGTCTTCCCTCGTTTGAAGTCCCCAAGCAACAGCTGCCAGGGAGGGTCGCCGATGTCTCGACTGGACCTTTTCCGGCTGAGGAAGCATACCTCATGGACCCCTGGGCTTCTTCGTGGGGCTGGCTTTCCATTCCGAGCTGTCATTTGACGGTCCTCGGGCCCAGTAGGGGGCCTAGAGCCCGAGCACGGCGGAACAACTCGGGGCCCTTACTCCCCGCGCTCATGATTTGTTCGTTCTGCGTTGTCCTCCTCCTCCTCCTCTTCCTCCTCCTCCTCCTACTCCTCTTCCTCCTCCTTCTCCTCCCACCCAAATTCGGGTGACGCAAAACAGCCGCGACAACTGGACGAATTAAGTTTTCAACATCTGGGCACCGTTTTCGGCATCTACGTCCTCCCCAGGGAACACCAAAAACGAAACGTACCCAACCCCTTTCTGCGCGTACTCCGATTGTTTCTGTGAACGCTTCAAAACGTAAGAACACATTGCGAAATTTGCCGCACCTGCGAAGGCGACGCAAAACAATATCGGGCCACGCACATCGCACACCTGCGCAACGAATATAGGACGGGGGACAAAATTGGAGGAGCAGGAGGAGGGTTGGGAGGACAAGGAGGATGGATACCTGGATACCGAAAGGGAAGACATACCGAACAGGGAAACAGCGCCATTCGCTATGTCTGCTCGGTTCGCCCTTGCTGCCGCAGCGGGCAACAGACACCTGCGGACGAGAGGCGATGAGTGGGCCACTAAGGACAACGCAACTCGCTGCGTGACGCTCCAGCGCCCTACGCTCTGTGATGAAACGGAGCCGCGCGCTGCATGACGGGGCAACGCCACGCGCCATGAGGGCGCGCTCCCTTTCACACTCGACTGGCAATCGCCCGTTGCAAACATCGCCGATGCCGCCGCCGAAATTGCAGCCAATGCGCACGTTCGCCCAAAACCCGCTTGCGACCCCCCACCCTTCAGTCGCGTAGCAACTTGGCAGGGCCGAGCGCGCACGCCACCTTCATGGACTGCCTCCTGCAGTTCTAGTGAAACTCCCAAGAGCCCTCGAAATTGGCGACGGTTGCGCACTTCGCACACCTCGCACCCCCGCAAGGAAGCCGCGAGGCCTCGGCTGGGTCTGCGTGTGACTCCACTCTGCAGGACCTTCCGCCCGCGAAAGTGGCGACGGTTGCGCACCTCTCAGCCACCAAAAGGAGCCGCGAGGTCTCGGCTGGGTCTGCGTGTAACTCCACTCCGCTGGACGTCCCAGAAGCCCACGAAAGCGGCGAACAATGCGCACTTCGCAGCCAACATAGGCCGTAGGGAACTGCGAGGTCTCGGCTGGGTCTGCGTGTAACTGCCCTCCTCTGAACCTTCCAGGAGCCCACAGGGAGCCGCGAGGTCTCGGCTGGGTCTGCGTGTAACTCCACTCCGCTGAACCTTCCAAGAACCCACGAATGGCGACGGTTTCGCAAATCGCAGCCCCCCAAGATAGCCGCGAGGTCTCGGCTGGGTCTGCGTGAAACTCCACTCCGCTGGACATCCCGGAAGCCCGCGAAGATGGCGACTGCTGCGCAATTCTCAGCCCCCCAGGGGAGCCGCGAGGTCTCGGCTGGGTCTGCGTCCAGCTCCACCCCTCTGGACCTCCAAGAAGCCCACGAGAATGGCGACGATTGCGCACTTCGCAGCCACCCATGGAGCAGCGCTGGAGGAGGCAGGAGGAGGGGGGGGAGGCGGGAGAGGAGAGGAAGGGTGGGGCGACCACAGTCCTCTATGTTGGAACGAGAGCCCAACCGAGGGAAGGTTGGGAACAACTGAGGATGAAGAGCCGGCCCCGGGGAAGTGGTCGAAATCCACGGGGGCCGCCGTCACAACCACGGCGGGCCGGGTCATCGTCCTCGTCAAATCTTCCAGAAGTGCGTTCCGAAACCTTTTCCGCCCCGCCCATGGAGGACCGCAGAGTCCTCTCCCCTTTCCCAAGACCCCTTCCCTCGTGGTGACGTATCCAGCTTACGCACGACCACCGGCCTTGAGGCCCTTCTCCAGGATCTCCTCCGCCTCGCAGCGCCCCGAGGAGGCCCGGGAAGGAGGGGCACGAGGGAGTGGGGAAGAAGGGGGGATCATTGAACAGGCGGCACACGACCAGATCAAAGTCCTGAGGATGGGGTCGATAGCTCGGCGGCCAGGCCGTGAAAAAGCAAGCAAGACGGACAACGTCTGGGGAGTGATGGGAGAGAGGCAGTGAGGAGAGGAGATGGGGAGGGGTCGGTAATCATACATGAGCAACGCGTGACGGTGCGACAGCGCCCCCACACGTCAGATGATCGTGCTTCGGTTCCAAGCCTGGTCCACTTTGTAGGATAACGAATAACGAACATGGCTTTGCAATATCGGGTCAAGGTCTCAATAACCTAAGTCACAGTGAAGGCTAAACTTGAACTGAATGTGTTGTGTGGTCTCTCTCGCATCTCCCCCTGCGCGTCGCTGCAACAGCATCCGACGTCAACCTGCACTACAAAGGCGGCGACGACTCAAAGGATTCCGATTGGCTGCGAAGCGTCAGACACTTCCTTGTGCAAGGGTGAAGCTCCATAATGATAACCTCTGGAAGTGCTGCAGGAGAGGACCAGGGTGAGACGAAAGATGCGCTGAATGAGAAGGGGTCAAGGAGCAATTATATTCCAAGGTGATCTTACCAATCCCAAAGGGTCCGACATGTCAAGACGAACGCTTCGACGCCTCCTTGTGATGCTTCCAGACCAGGTGTTCAAACCTCCGCCCAGGCATGTCAAAAACCTCTCGTGACCGCAGATCGATCGAAATGCCCGCATCGCCCAATCCACTGAGTCCAACTCCATCCGTGCAGGAATGAACAGGAGGAGGAGCTGGCCGCCTTTGCCTGCGGTTTGCGTATCCTCCTCCTCGTCCTCCTTCTCCTCCTCTTCCTCCTCTTCCTCCTCCTCCTCCTCCTCCTCCTCCTCTTCCTCCTCCGCCAGTCTGTTGTCGATTTCTGCATGCTGGAAGTCTCAGAGAAGGTCCTTTGAGGAGACAGCTCTTGGTTCGAGCCGTGGGCAGCATTCTGCCAGTCCTCGTGGCCTCGGGGCATCCGCCCCCCCCTCCCCCCGATGACTCGAGCGTTTCAGGTCGCCGGCCCACTGGGCCGTCATCGAACCACGAGCGGCGAACGTATCCACATCCACCCCCTCGCAGTCTGGCTGTTGGGCGCGACCCATTGGATCCGCACGCGGTCGCATGGACACGTTCCGCGCGGGGCGCACGCGAACAAAACCTTCCGCATCCACGGGGTCGCGGCCCAGGGGCCCGGCCCAGGAGGCCGTGGATACGGATACGCATCCGGCCCACGATCCAGAATGCTTCTTCGACGGCCCAGGACCCCAAGCCGACCCCTGCAGGCCGAGACAGAAAAACTGACAAACACTTGCACGGCCGCATGCCAAAACATCTGCCCCCGTGGATGTCCTGGGGCACACTCAGGCCAGAATTCCGACGGAACCCCCCTGCCGTGGCGACGAGAAACGTGCAGAAGGCGCACCAACATGTACAAGCATAGCCACAACACACAACACATTTATCCGAAACGCACTCAACCCTCTCTGCACGCGGAGCCTTCCATGTGCACGCGTGGCGGCTGTATAAATGGACGCACTATACACAAAACACATTGCGAGATACGCAGCGCCTGGGAAGGCGACGCAAAAAAAGCCGGGCAACGCGCATCGCACGCCTGCCAACCTTGGGCCGGGGGACAGAAGCTGATGAGCAATGGCGGGGAGGACAAGAAGGATGGAGAAGGCAGGGGAGGAACTACCACTAAGGGTAAAATCGCCATGCGCCAAATCTGATCAATTCGCCCGTGTTGCCGCAGCGTGCGGCAGACACCTGGGGGCGGGAGGGGGTGGAGTGGGCCACTAAGGACAGCGCACTTCGCTTCGTGACCCTCTAGCACCCTGCGTTCTGTGATGCAACAGCGCCTCGCGCTGCATGACGGGGCAGCGCCACGAGCCATGTGGGCGCGCTCCCTGTCATACTCGACTGGCAATCGCCCGTTGCAAACATCGCCGATGCCGCCGCCGAAATTGCAGCCAATGCGAACGCTCGCCAACAATCCGCTTGCGGCCCTCCCCTGTTCAGTCGCGAAGGAACTTGGCAAGGCCGAGCGCGCACGCCATCTTCATGAACTGCTTCCTGCAATTCTATTGGCCCTCCCAGGCGCCCACGAAATTGGCGACGGTTGCGCACTTCGCAGCCCCAGGGGAGCCGCGAGGTCTCGGCTGGGTCTCAGGAGCCCATGCAATTGGGAACGGTCTCGCACTTTGCAGCCTCCCCCGGAGCCGCGAGGTCTCGGCTGGGTCTGCGTGTAACTCCACTCCGCTGACCTCCCAGGGGCCCACAAAAGATGCGAAAATTGGGGACTTCGAAGCCCCCCTATGGAGCCGCGAGGTCTCGGCTGGGTCTGCGTGTAGTTCCACTCCGCCAGAACTCCTAGGAGCCCACGAAAGCGGGGACGATTGCGCACTTCGCAGCGCCCGGAAGCAGCGAGGTCTCGGCTGGGTCTGCGTGTAACTCCACTCCGCTGGACCTCCCAAGAGCCCCCCGAAGGAACCGCGAGGTCTCGGCTGGTTCTGCGTGTAAATCCTCTCCGCTGGACCTCCCAGGAGCCCACGGGAATAGCAACGTTTGCGTACTTCGCAGCCCCCCAGCGGAGCCGCGAGGTCTCGGCTGGGTCCGTGTGTAACTCCACTCCGCTGGACCTCCGAGGAGCCCGCGAAAGTGGCGACGTTTGCGCATTTCGCAGCCCCCCAAGGGAAGCCGCGAGGATTCGGCTGGGTCTGCGTGTGACACCACTCCGCCAGAGCTCCCAGGAGCCCACGACAGCGGGGACGATTGCTCACTTCGCAGCCCCCCGGGGGAGCAGCGAGGCCTCGGCTGGGTCTCCACCCCGCTGAATCTCACAGAAACCAACGCAAGTGGCGAGGGTTGCGTACTTCACAGCCTCCCGGGGGAGCCGCGAGGTCTGGGCTCGGTCTGCGTGTGACACCACTCCGCCAGCACTCCCAGGAGCCCACGAAAGTGGCGACGGTTGCACACTTCGCAGTCTCCCAGAGGGCCGCGAGGTCTCGGCTGGGTTTGCGGGGAACTCCACTCCGCTGGGCCTCCTAGGAGCCATGAAAGGGGCGACGTTTGCGCACTTCGCAGCCCCCCAGTGGAGCGACGTCTCGGCTGCTTCTGCGCGTAACTCCACTCAGCTGAACCTCCCAAGAGCCCACGAAAGTGGCGACAGCTGCGCACTTCGCAGCCACCCAAAGAGCAGCGCAGGAGGTGGGGGAGGCGGGAGAGGAGAGGATGACGGGGCGATCACAGTGCTCTATTCGAACCGAACGAGAACCCAACCAAGGGAGGGTTGGGAACACTCTCCAACATCATGTTGTTTAAATGCGAACTCACCACGCCTCTCGGCAAACCCCTGGAAACGAGCCTTTTATGATGGATCGTTTCTGATGGCCTCGTAGCAAACGCTCTCCATACGATCCCTCACCAAGCCCAGCAAACGGCCTCCATACGATTCCCCGCCCGGCAGGTTGGAGTAGTCAGATTAGACAAAGAAAGCTCCCGACGCGCCTCGCACACCCTGCATAATCACGGCGGTCGCCAAGCCTGAAGTGCGCCGGTGCTCCGTGGGAATCCCGCCTCGTGTCTCCGACAAATGGCGACTGCATACCCCGGCCGCCAGGCCACAGGGGGACCAATGCTCCCCGGGGATCCCGCCTTGCGTTCTCAGGTGGGGGTCGCTGGAAAGAAAATCAGAGGATCGTTTCAACGCCAGAGGCCTCGACCCCCAACGCCATGGGGCTCAGGGTCACTCGGCGCGCCCAGCTCGAGCCCATGGGCTGCCGTCGGACGCGCCAGCGCCGCTGGAAGCCAGCGGCTGGCCAGGCGCCACAGGGAAGCGAAGAGGCAGGCCAAGGGCGGGAACCGAGGGCGTCGTGCTCAGACCTACGAGGTCGAGAACAACACCAAGGCGGAAACTTTTCGTAGTCTGTGGCGTCTGGACGCGGCATTCAGGCTCCCGGGCCACGAGAGAACTGTGCGCCACGAAGAACTGGGCCCCCGAGAAGCGTCTTGAGGTGATGGGGAACCCGCGTTGCAAAAGGTAAAACGTCGGAGGTCTGGGTAGAGATCTGCTCATCAATTATGTTGGTGGACGCGCGCACTGAATGAGATGACAGAGCAAGAGACGTAATTGGCGGCCTTCTCGCCGCGCACGGTCACGTGGCACCTCGGCGAGCAGGGCGCGGGTGCCGAGGGAGCTCGCGAGCCAGGCTCGAAGGGACGACGACGACGGCGGCGTCGACGACAACGACGAAGACGACGACGACGACGACGACGACGACGACGACGACGACGACGGAGGCGGCGGCGGCGGCGACGACGGCGGCGGTGACGACGACAACGACGACGACGACAAACGCGACGACGACGACATCGAGCGACGGAGAGAGAGGTAGTACCGTCGCGGGCGCGTGGCACCTCAGCGAGCAGGGCGCCGGTCCTGGGGGAGCTCGACGAGCAGGTTCGAAGGTTTAACTGTTTTTCCTCGTCCCACTCCTCGTCTTCGTTGGTGTCCTGATCGTCGCCGCCGCCGTCGCCATTCTCACCGCCGCCTCTGCCCCTGTCCACGTCTGGCTCATCTCCTTCCTAGTCCTCGTCGCCATCCTCGCCGTCCTCACTGTCCGCAACCTCGCCGCCGCCGTCCGCGTCCCTGCTGTCCTCGTCCTCGCCGCCAACGCCGCCGACGCCGTCGACGAGGACGCCGACGACGGACGGCGACGGACGACACCGGACGGCTATGAACGGGTTTTCGCCTTATCAATGGTTTTTCCCAACCATCCTGTGGTGTTGGGCTCTCGCTTTTGAGAGACCGCGCCCCGCGTATCCCTCCTCCTCCCCCTACTCCCTTCCTCCCTCCCTCATCCCAGCTCTGACTCTGCTCTCCGGATGTCCACAATTTCGGGGCACCCCTCACACGTTTCGTGGCCCCACAAAAAGCTCCACCCAGGGCCCCGATGGGGCCGTTCGCGTGCGTCCGCGCCGCACATTTCAGCACACCCCTCACACGCTTCGTGACCCCACAAGGGGTTTCACCCAAGGCCCCAATGGTGTCGTTCGCATGCGTCTGCGCCGCACATGTCGGCCCACTCCGCACACGTGTCGTGGCCCATCGGGATCTCCACCCAAGGCCCTAATGGTGTCGTTCGCATGCGCCCGCGCCGCACAATCCGGTCCAACCCTCACACGTTTCGTGGCCTCGTCGGGATTTCCACCTACAACCTCACTGGTGCCGTTCGCATGCGTTCGCGTTGCTGACTTCGTTACACCCCTACCCCTCACACGCATCGTGGTCCCATCGGACTCCCCACCTGAAGCCTCACTGGTGCCGTTCGCATGCGTACGCGCCGCCCATTTCGGCACACCCTTCACATGTTTCGCGGCCCCACTGAGGTGGCTCCACGTAAGGCTTTAATAAGGCCGTTCGCATGCGTCCGCGCCGCCCATTTCGGCCCACCCCTCACACATTTCGTGGCCCCGTAAGGAGCTCTACCCAAGGCCGCAGTGGCGACGTCCGCATGCGCCCGCGCCGCCCATTTCGGCACACCGCTCACACGTTTCGTTTCTCATTAGAAGCTGGACCCATAGGCCCCCTGGATGGGGTCCGAGTAGATGGGGTCGGAGGATGTCGCCGCATCGCCGATATATCGGCGTTGCATCGTCGACGTTGGCTTTGAAAAAATCGGGCTCCACATCGATCCGCATCGCCGATGCATCAGCGATGCGGTGCGATCCTCCGACCCAGCTCTACGCCGACCCCATCTGGGAAGCATAGAACCCAAGGCTGCAGTGGCGCGCGTCGCCGGGACTCCTTTGGGGCCGCTGGCGCGCGTCGCGGGGACTCTGCGTTGCACGCTGCCCAGAGCCGCGGCCACCAAGACGCACAGACAGAGAGGGAAGGAGGTGAACTCAAAACGGCAAGGCCTGGGGCTCGGGCCATTGCGGGCCAGCTGTGCAGGAACGCAACGCGCAACGGAAACACCCGCCCTACTCCGGCACACCCCTCTCACACTGCTTGGCCACAGAAGGGACTCTTCCTACGGCCCCAGTGGCAGCGCCCTCATGGCGGCCCCGCCCCATTTTGGTACACCCTTCACACGCTTCGTGGCCCCAGAAGGAGATCCACCGAAGGCGATACTCACAGTGACGGTACTCACATCTGCAGATGGTTGGGTCCTTCGCCAGGCTAATCTTCATTCTCGTCTTTTCGCGTCCGAAATTCGAAGTTCGAAGCGTCAAAGTTCGAGTTTTAGCGCTCGAAAATTCTATGCCCCTCTTCACCCGTTCGAAATTCGAATGCTTTTTCTGTATTTTCGCCGTGTCCCCAATTCGAAAGACGACGATTTTTCTGCGCGTTCGCCTCTTCTGGGCCTATGCGAGGGCCCTCCGTCCACACGGCCGGATCCGCCTCAAAATTCAGGTCTGAACGCGCTCCAGAACAGGTCCACGGGGGCCCAGAGGATGCTCCGGCCAGGATCGATCGATGTTCGAGGCCGGGACATATCGGGGATAAAGGGGCCCAGGGGGTCACAAATAAATCAACACAAATTCCAGGATTTCCCATACTTGCTCATTCCCTACCTAGGCTCTGCCTGAAAGGGTTCTTACCGTGTGTGCTTAAAGGGCCGGGCAGAGCTCCCCGCCCCGGGCGGTTCCCCCAGGATCCGCCCCGCGGTTCCCCAAGTGACGTTCCCTTAGCTTAGCGTTGCTTATCTCATCTTAGCTTAGCTTATTTCATCTTAGCTTAGCTTAGCTTCATCTTAGCTCAGGTTTATCTTAGCTTAGCGCACCTTTATCTTAGCTTCGCCGAGCTTTAGCATAGCAGAGCACAGCATAGCATAGCAGAGCGTAGCACAGCACAGCGCAGCACAGCATATCATAGCAAAGCCCAGCATAGTTCAGCATAGCGCAGCATAGCATGGCATAGCATAGCATAGCATAGCATAGCGCAGCACAGCACAGCACAGCATAGCACCGCGCAGCATAGCATAGCATAGCATAGCGTAGCAGAGCAGAGCATAGCACAGTAGCAAAGCAAAGGCAAAGCAACAGCAGCGACAGCAACGCAAAGCACAAGCAACGCAAAGCAAAGCAAAGCAAAAGCAAAGCAAGCTCTCCTCGGGGCTCCAACTCCTAGGTAGGGTCGCTCTGGGATAATGTTCTCTGGATGCCCCTCTTCCCCTACATATCACATATTATTCCCACATGCTCATGCGTGTTGGTGCCGACGTCTCATATCCCCTAAATCGGAGATTTCGCCGGGGAGGACAATCTGCAACTGAGACGGAGTTATTCGATTCATGTACCTTCTGGTTCATGGGCTTCATGGGTTTCAGTGTGCCAGGAGCCCCATGTCTTGGGGAGCTCCCACGGGAGCGGCGGATTTCTTTCTCCGCAAGGGCAACGTCTCGTCCGCTTAGCGCGGAGGCGGGGTAGCAAATATCCGGCTCGAAGTGGCCCTACGGGGCCCGTTCTGCAATGGCTGCCGCCTGGCGCGGGGGCAGGGTTTCAGGTTTCCCTCCCAGGTTGGCGCGGGAGCAGGGTTTCAGGTTTCCCTCCCAGGTTGGGGCCCTGCTCTGGCCTCGCGGTCTGGGCCAGGACAGGTTACGCGCCGATTTGCAGGCTACGCGCCTTTGCTGGGCTACGCGCCCGTTCGCAGGCTACGCGCCCTTGCTGGGCTACTGAGGATCCCTGAAACTGGGAAGTTCTGGATGATGTATCGGGTGCCGCGGCCGTTGCAGGTGGGCGTCGCTGCATGGGGGCGCTACGATTGATAATCGGGGGGGGGAAGAAAGGAGATACACTTCGCGGACCCTGAAGGCCACCTTTTGGGGCCTAAAGGGAACCTTTTCTGCAGCCCTCGTTGCCCCCCATTTATCGCCCCTCCTTACTCGACGCCCACTGCAGAGTGCTCCAGAGCGTTCTGGCACGCTCTGGAGCGGTTGATGGCGGTCCCAGCCCCGCACGACGGGCCAGGATCCCAGATCTCCGCCGCTATGAGTTGTGAAGGGGCCCAGCGACACACAAATCAATAGACACACATCCATCCCCCGTATGTTTCGATTTTTTCCTGGATGTTCGTCTCCCCCTCCACTTCTCATAGTTTCCATGTTTTTCAGGGCATCGACGATTATTTGTGTCTGTGATTTTTTCCTTCCTGAGATTTTCTAATCTGGACGTATTTCCTCGAGTTCGGCTTCGGGGGGCCGTTATCGAGCCTTAGGGCCATCCACAACGAAGGTGGGACGGAAAACGACCTCCAGGGAAAGGGCCTGGGCCTCTTGGGGACGCGCATTGAACAACAATCAGCATATCGGAAGATGTTCGAAATCCGAGGTGGCGCACTTCGTGGTCACGGCTTGGTTCTCTTTGGGATTATGGTCTGATCGCACCCTCTGGGCAGGTCGGAAGGCCGATCTTTGGCCACCGAGTCCGGCACGGACCGAGCACTTACCTTCGAGGGTGTGGAAGCCCGAGGACCCAGGCTTTTGGCCATGTGCCGCTCTCTTGGGGCCTGTGGGAGGCTTCGCGTCGCCACGGCTGAGTCCGCCTCGAGATTCTGGCGTGCCTCCCAACGCAGTGCGCTCAGACACCCAGCCGGCCCTTGAGGCCGCGGAGTCTCTCGTGCAGGCAGGCCAGGTCAAGACCTGAACAGACCACCGCCAGCAAACGAAGCAACGCAGCATAGTTTAGCACAAACCTTCGGAGGTCCGTGCAGACTGCTTGGATCGGCGATGGACCCGCTGGCGGCGCCTCTGGCGCTGGTTATGGCGCGTGGGGGGGTCCGGCGCCAATCCGAAAAACCTGCCGACCCAACGTTTATGTCTGTGCCGCGTCCACCTTCGGTTTCTTCTTCGAACAAGTCCTCACAACCTCTGGACGAATCTACGTAAGACAAAGCCAGGATCACGAGAGATAGTTAGACCGGGAGTTCGATCGGGGATCTCGTAGGACTGGCGCTTCAGGCGCCGCAGCCGTTCCAGAGCGCTCCGGAGCGTACTGGGAGTAATCCAGGACGCTCTGCAAAGACTTATCCTGGTCATGCGCCTGCCCGAGCGTCGGTTCTGGCGATCGGGGGCAGCTTGCGTGTGGCACGCGATCTTCTCGTTGCGCCTCACGCCGAAGGACCGGATGGTCATGCGGCACTTGGAGAAGACGGGCTGCTGCTCGGTCAGCTGCTCCAGGACCTCGCGGCGCCCTTCTGAGGCCGCACCCCCTGGGGCCCCCACTTCGCGAGCGCCAGGGGCCCATGGAGATGCCGCAAGACGATGAGCATTCCACGGTGGAGAGCCCGGACGCGAGACACCGTATGGCTACTATTCCACGGGTCTTCCGCAAAATGGCTCGGCGACCTTACGCGGCGCGGTGGCGTACACTGGCCCCGGGCGCGGCACGCGACCAACGAAGGTGTTCACGCGCGACCTTACGCGTGCAACTCATGCGCCAATGTCTGTGAAGACTACCCGCTTCTTTCTGCGTCGCTCACATGCCTGGAGCCGCATGTGGAGCATCGGGAGGCCACGCGCTGCATACACACGCGGATGGTGCCCGACCCCGCCACACGATGGCTGGGCGCCGGAAGGACATGCGGCCACATGTGCATCCAGCCCTCGACCAAGACTGCAACTTTCGGGCTTCTACTGACCCGGGTAAATACAAGCCCGGGTCAGTCTGGCTCTGGAGGATCCTGCAGTATCTTCCAGGATCGTGCAGGATCCTGCGCGCTAAGTTAACCTGGGGCAATTCAACCCTGGCTTCGCAAGGTCCTGCAAGATTTGGCGCTCTGACTGACCCCCGTGTGCATGGGCCGCCGTCTCCACCAGCTCGACACGTCACGTGCATCCAGCATCCGGGTGTATCTCACGAACAGCGATCCGTATCCGCGCCTTCGTGGTCTCGATTCCGGGGCCCGAACCCGCGGATACGCGGTCGCACGGATGCGTTCCGTACGGGGCATCCGCGAAACAACGCCCCGTATCCGCGGGGTCGCGGCCCAGGGCCCCAGCACGCGAGGCCGAGGATATGGCAGAGTGAGGGGGCCGAACAGTCATTCATTGTCCCTGAGTGCGTGGCTGAAGTGGGCATCCGTGGTGAGGACTCTGCTTGTTGCGTTGTTATTGTTGTCTTCTCACTTCTGAAGAATAATTATTGTTAACCCCCCTCACCGGTGCAAACTGTTTTTACCTAACAGCGAAGACTGATAGGTTTCTAGTGGTCTCAAAAGAAACCATCATGACTCCCCAAGGGGGTCTGGGCAGATGCCGGACGGGATCCGGGGACTCCTTTTTTAGCCAACAGTAACGCACTTCGTGGTCTTCGTGTTCCCAGAACTCCATTCCTGGGCATGATTTCGAATGCCCGGAGCCAATTGTAAGCCACTTCGTGTTCTTCGAGATCCCAGAACTCCATTCCTGGGCATGATTTTGAATGCCCCGAGCCAACTGTAGGCCACTTCGTGGTCTTCGAGTTCCCAGAACTCCATTCCTGGGCATGATTTTGAATGCCCGGAGCCAACTGTAGGCCACTTCGTGGTCTTCGAGTTCCCAGAACTCCATTCCTGGGCATGATGTTGAAAGCCGGGAGCCAACTGTATGCCACTTCGTGTTCTTCGAGTTCCCAGAACTCCATTCCTGGGCCACATTTTGAATGCTGAGGCAGGCTGATGCTGAGGCTGAGGCAGGCTGAGGCTGAGGCCGAGGTTGAAGGCAACTGAGGCTGAGACTGACAGGCTGAGGCTGAGGCTGAGGCAGGCTGAGGCAGGCTGAGGCTGAGGCTGAGGCAGGCTGATGCTGAGGCAGGTTGAGGCTGAGGCTGAGGCTGATGCAGGCTGAGGCTGAGGCAGGCTGAGGCTGAGGCCGAGGCTGAAGGCAGACTGAGGCTGAGGCTGAAGCAGGCTGAGGCTGAGGCTGAGGCAGGCTGAGGCTGAGGCTGAGGCAGGCTGAGGCTGAGGCAGGCTGAGGCTGAGGCTGAGGCTGAGGCAGGCTGAGGCTGAGGCAGGCTGAGGCTGAGGCCGAGGCTGAAGGCAGACTGAGGCTGAGGCTGAAGCAGGCTGAGGCTGAGGCTGAGGCAGGCTGAGGCTGAGGCTGAGGCAGGCTGGCTGAGGCAGGCTGAGGCTGAAGGCCTGAGGCTGAGGCAGGCTGAGGCTGAGGCTGAGGCTGAGGCAGGCTGAGGCTGAGGCTGAGGCTGAGGCAGGCTGGCTGAGGCAGGCTGAGGCTGAGGCTGAGGCTGAGGCTGAGGCTGAGGCTGCAGGCTGAGGCTGAGGCAGGCTGAGGCTGAGGCTGAGGCTGAGGCTGAGGCTGAGGCTGCAGGCTGAGGCTGAGGCTGAGGCTGCAGGCTGAGGCTGAGGCTGAGGCAGGCTGATGCTGAGGCAGGCTGAGGCTGAGGCTGAGGCTGATGCAGGCTGAGGCTGAGGCAGGCTGAGGCTGAGGCCGAGGCTGAAGGCAGACTGAGGCTGAGGCTGAAGGCAGGCTGAGGCTGAGGCTGAGGCAGGCTGAGGCTGAGGCAGGCTGAGGCTGAGGCTGAGGCAGGCTGAGGCTGAGGCAGGCTGATGCTGAGGCAGGCTGAGGCTGAGGCTGAGGCTGATGCAGGCTGAGGCTGAGGCAGGCTGAGGCTGAGGCCGAGGCTGAAGGCAGACTGAGGCTGAGGCTGAAGCAGGCTGAGGCTGAGGCTGAGGCAGGCTGAGGCTGAGGCTGAGGCAGGCTGATGCTGAGGCAGGCTGAGGCTGAGGCTGAGGCTGAGGCTCATGCAGGCTGAGGCTGAGGCAGGCGGAGGCTGTGGCCGAGGCTGAAGGCAGACTGATGCTGAGGCTGAGGCAGGCTGAGGCTGAGGCTGAGGCAGGCTGAGGCTGAGGCAGGCTGCGGCTGAGGCTGAGGCAGGCTGAGGCTGAGGCTGTGAATGCGACTGCCGCTGCCACTGCGACTGTCATCGCGAATGCGACTACGACTGCGAGATCGGCAGAATTCTACAACTGGACTCTCATCTGAATCTGAAGGGGAATGCTTCCAGATATGCTCCTACACATCGCTCTTAGGTTGCTTTGCCGGGATAATTTCTCAGTCAAAGTGTGCCCCTCGACTGCTCAAACTGTGCCCCTGGCCCCCAGGTTACAACAACAACGGCTCCCGCCTCAGCCTTCCTCTCCATTTAGCCAGGACCCCCGCTCCCGCCCGAGACATCCTCGCATTTTATTTGGGAATCGCGCTCTCGCATGGGAGCTCCGTACAATTTATTCAGGAATCGCTCTCCCGGCGTTCTGGAATCGCGCTCTCGCTGGAGACCTGCTTGCAATTTGCTGAAGAATAACGCCCTTGCGTTGGAATTTCTTGCAATTTGCTCCAGCGCCGCGCTCCCGGCACCCAGGCACCCAGGAGTCGCGCCCGTCGTGGCCCCATGTGCATTCCCTTCGTGGCCCCGCTGTCGCTGTTTGAGGCCCCCTCACTGTCCTACGTGGCCCAGTTGCTACCCTCAGTGGCCCCATCGTTGCCTTCTGTGGCCCCGCATTATCTGCCCTTCGTGGCCCCCGCTCGTTCGCGCTTCGCGTGGCCCCATACGCATTCCCTTCGTGTCCCCTGGTCCGCGGCCGCCCCGCCGCTTGCCGGGGCCCGGCCTGCGGGGAAGAAACGTATACCCCCCAAAAGGAGTTCGATCGAAGACGAAGACGGCGGGTATCGAAGGTTTGGGAAATACGCGTTATTGGACACTCGAGTTGAGAAGGGCGAAGAGCCTTAAAGTGAGTGTTGTTGCTGCTCTTGTTGAAAATTAATTGCTAAACATTTTGTATTGCTGGACCCCTCCCTGGCGCTTTGGCGCTCTCGCCTCGGCGCCGGCTACACTTTCATTGAAAATGAGTCCACTCGAGCGGTTTGGGGGGCGCCAAAACCGGCCCCCCAACAACAACAACAACAACAACAACAACAACAACAACAACAACAACAACAACAACAAGAACGAGGCGCAGTTGACCGGCCCGTCCAGTGGGGAGCTCCACAGCGCCTCCTCCCCTAGGGACAAGGCCGACTTGACCGGCCCGGGGGCAACCGCGGGACCCCAGCAACCCCAGCAACCCCAGCAACCCCAGCAACCCCCCGCAACCCCGAAAGCTTACCTCCACAGACCAAGCTCTCAACGCTACGTCCTCCATGCGGATTCTGACAGCACGACGCGTGTGCGCACCGGTGCAGCGAGCTCTTGAGGAATCCTATAGGATCCTCGAGAAATCCTATAGGATCCTATAGGAAATCCTATAGGATCCCTTAGGAATACTATAGGATTCCTTAGGAATCCTATAGGATCCACTCGAGCCAGCCGATGACATGAGGGCGATGGCGACGACGACGACGCAGACGACCGCAGTCGCGACGACATGGGAACTGGCTGCTGACATCGCGTGGGTCGTTCACTCTTGAGCGATCTGCGCACCTGGAGGCCGTCCTGGAATCATGATTTCGGACCGCGGGTCGATTTCCGTGAGTCCTGGGGCCCGAAGAAAAAATACCCTGGGCGCATTCAACCATGCACGCCCACGCTGGAACGCAAGGAGGAGGAGACCCAGGAGCAACAACAACAACAACAGCTTTGCCCAAGGTGTTCGCGGTGGGGTTCGCCCAAGAGGCCTGGGGCAGAGTGGCTACGATGTTAGCCAGCGTGGGCCCAAACCGGCGAATCCCACCAGCACTTTAGGGCGTGAGTGGTCTAAGGAGCTCGTTCTGCTAAACCCCCTTTTTCCCCTTCGGGGAGGGGGTTCCCCCTCCCCCTACCCCCTCCCCCTGGACCTGGAGGGAGGGTGCCGCGAGCGGTTGGAGCGTCCAAGATGGCCCAAGATGGCTCCAAGCGGGTCCCAGAGAGCCCAAGATGGTCTCCAAGATCGCGCAAGATATCCCAAGATGGTTCAAGATAGCTATCAACATGCATCCAAGAGCTCTGGAGACCGCCCCAGGACGGCTCCAAGTGCCTTTCGAGCCCTCCAAGGAAGCCCTCAAGAGGCCAAAATCATTCAAATCCTGTATGTTTTTCCGATGTTTTTTGCATTGTCACCCTTTCGCGCCCGATGGCCTCTTGAGGCCTCAAGATGGCTTCTGGATGGCCCAAGAGGGCCCCAAAAGGGGCCCAGGGGGGCCCCAAGACCGCCCCAAGAACACCCAAGACCGCTCCAAGAGCGGCCCACGAGGGCCCCAAGAGGTTCATTTTC